AAATCCGGAGAATATATATTTGAATAACGCGCCAATTCCCCATGCGATTGAGGCTAAATATCTCGAAATGACGCTTGACACCAAATTAAGATGGAAACCTCACGTAAGAAAGAAAAAAGAAGAAATCGATATAAAAATGAGAAAACTGAACTGGCTGATGAATAGAAATTCAACTCTAAATCTCCAGAACAAGCTGTTAGTATATAACCAAGTAATTAAATCAATCTGGCAGTATGGAATCCAACTGTGGGGTTGCGCAAGCAAAAGTACTACAGACATAATCCAAAGATCGCAAAATAAAATCCTAAGACAGATAGTCGGAGCACCTTGGTACGTGCGAGATCTAAGCGTCCCAACTGTGGAAGATGAAATAATAAGGGTGGCAAAGAACCACAAATCGAGGTTGAGTCAACATGAAAATAATGAGATGGTAGATATCTTAAATAATCACGAAAATATCCTCAGAAGGCTAAACCGCAGGAAGCCGCTTGATCTTAAGTGTAACGGAGGTATTCGGGGGAATCATCACAGGATGTTCCCAACAAACGTGATTTTTAGAACTGGCGAAGAAAGGATTGCTAGATAGACCGAATGGTTCTAGTTGCAATAATAATTGATAAAAAAAAAAAAATTTATTTCTTGGTTTGTGTTTCTAATTATAAAAAGTATAAAAGAAAAACGTGCTTTTATTATACAAAAATTTTTTCAGAAAATCTTAAAATAGAGCTATTTCGTGGCTAAAAAGCTCCAATGTCAGATTTTTCTGGGACCCTTGAGGCAAAACCCTATCTAATGCCTTTTGTCCCTTCTAGAAGTACCCGTACTTTTTGGTACCTGAGAAGTAGCTATATATACTCTGAGTGCCAAAAGTAATTGTACACTTGCAATTTGTAACACTAAAATTTAATATTTACGAAAATAGTGTTTTTTTACAAAAACTAATGTTTCCTCGTGACGTCACGGGCACAGGTCATTTCCTAAAAGAAAAAAGCAACAACAACAAAAAATACAAAGTTCACAACAATAACATGATTGTACTTATCTGATGAATTCAATATGCATCCAACTGCGCAAGTTTTTATCTCAACCTAAAATTGAAACTAATTAAAGCATATAACAAACATACATATATTTGATCAAACATAAAAGAAACTTCTGTTGAATATATTGCAGGTTTGCAATCGCTTTAGTCCTGGGTATTTTGGTCCAGCGCAGTCAGTCCTTCTTTCGTTGTTGATCTCGTGTTTATTTATATTAATTTTGTAATATTTGTGGAACTTTTGTTCCATAATTTTTTTCCTAATTTTTAAAACAAAATAAATTAACAAAAACACTACACCACATTTTACTTGTTTATCTCTTATAAATCAAATATTGACATTTGCAGACAAAAAAAAGATTCGTTCAATAGCTTTCGTTCAGTTTGATGGGTGTTGCCGCATGACATAATCGATCAATAATTAATTATATCAGCTATTTGTCAAGTGTGGTGGAGTGAAATAAAAAAGAACGAGCGAATGAAATGAAAAATATTGTATATACATAATATAGAGTGTTGACAACAACAAATCACGGCGCAGTGTATATAAAATTACATTGTATTTTTCAAGCTCAGTGAACTGCGTCATCTGTTTTATGTACAAGAAAACGTTATCAACCAAAAAAGTGGGACTGGCTAGGTGTCAACATCACCGTTGCACAACCGTTTGGATAAAATTTTTCTGGATCTATAAATAGAATGGAAAATTCTAGATCAAGAATGCAGTATTAGAAAAATCGTCGCATCGAACTTATCCATTTTGAATTTATATTGAAATTATAATATACTTAGTTTATATAAAGTCATATTAAAAGAAAATTAAATTTTGTTAATAAATTTAATAAATTGTTAGTACATGAATTGCAAAGAAGAAACAAAAGTGAAGTTGTTTTTCTTATAATTATTCTATATAAAAAAAGGAAAAATAATAATTGCGTTGAAAAGAGGCAATAATAAAATTTTAGTGGTAAAATTTAGTGGTAAACTAAAATATAAAATTTTAGTGGTTTTGGTGGTTCTTGCATAAAATGTTAGCGCAAATCGCCGCCTAACATTTTTTGGTCCTTCGAGCCGGATTATATTGAAAATTCGCGGCATTAAAAAAAAAAAATGAAAAGAAACACAAAAAATTTGGATTTAAGACAAAAAACTAGAATAAAAGTAGTGTAGTGTGCAAAAAAGAAAACTAAGTTTAAACTAAAGAACAGATTTAGTGAAACAAACTAAAAAACACACTACAAATTGCATATAATTAACAATTGGTACGAAATTAGAAAAGTGTTTGAGATATTGAAGAGACTATTGGTGGAATTTCTTTGTGGTGCAAAAAAAAAAGAAATAATGAAAAAAAAACTATAATATATTTAGTGTAGAACAAAAAAAAAACTTTGAACAATTTTATTTTGTAGTGTAGAGGTGAGAAGCGGTTTCGGTATCGGTCTCGCGAGTCGCGCCAATTGGAATCAGGCATTGGACTTAGAAAAGAGGAAGAGAGAAATTATAGTGAGTTCGTTCCATTTTCTATTATTTTCTTTTTAAATTGCATACAAAGTAATTGGATATTTTGAATATAAGGATTTCTTTCTTTATGAAAATATTTTACATAAATGGTTTAAATTTTTTTTGAAACAAATTTTACTGGTGGATTTGACTAAGATCTTTCTAAAATAATTTTGGCGGTTTAAATAGAGAGCTTAGAAAAGAAAAAAGGAACAATTTTTCGGGATAAAATTTTAATAATTTATCAATAAGTTTTAGTGAAAAAAAAGGAGAGAAAAATATATATTAAAATTTTTTTTATGAACACTTGCGTGGTACTTTGCAAATAAAACTTTGTGATTCAGATTGAATTAAATTAATATTTAAAGGAACTATTTGACACTAGTTGTAATTAATTAATAAAATAGTTGTAATTTCAATAAAACTAGACAAAAAATATATATATATAGTTGAAAATAAAGATATTATTTTGAGTGTTTAAATTGTTTAATTGATTTGTTTGGGATCTAGTTGGTACGGAATTGGTCTGGGTATACATATGGGTACATAGGGATTAACGTGGACAAGTTAATTAAGTTGCAATTGGCGGATAAATTCCTGATAGAGGAGATAGTAACTCATTTTTCTAGGGATAAAAGAGAAAACAAACCAAAGGGATGTTATGAGGAAGTTTTGAACGACATAGAGACCCTTTATAATGAGATAAAGAAGCGTCATCGACAGAATTTGGTGGTCTCTTATACAGATAGGAATGCAGAGAGCGCAAAGTGCCCGTACCTTCGAAAACAGCGTGTTTAATGAAATAAAGACGCTCTTCCAAACTAGTCATCAGTCCATAGATGCTGAAATTGACTTGAAAGTGGATCCGAACCATAGAATAAGCATGAGAAAAGAGGTTTCAAATGTGGCGATAAACCTGCCAAAGATAACGCTAGCAAAATTTGATGGTGATTACCAGAAATGGCCTTCCTTTTACGACATTTTTAGGTCCCTGGTCCACAATAATGAAACTCTTCCGGCAGTACAAAAGTTGCAGTATCTAAAGTTGCATCTTACTGGGAAGCCCGAACAATGGCTAAGAGCTTTTCAGGTGACAGAGGACAACTACATGGCTGCATTCAACATGCTAAAGGAGCGTTACGACAACAAGCGGGTGCTAGTCAACACGCTATTGAAACGGCTTCTTGGCCAGGCGATCGTGCACCAGGAATCAGCCATTGCAGTTAGGAGGCTTTTAGACACAACAAATGAATGCTTACAAGCTGTCACAAATCTACAAATTGATGTGGAAGGCTGGGATCCAATTACAGTTTACCTAATAGTCCAGAAGCTACCAATGGAAACGCATCAGCTTTGGGAACAAAGCATCAGCGTCGAAAAGCAGCTACCAACTTGGCGACAGCTTGAAAATTTTTTAGAAACAAGGTTCCGCACATTGGAGGCCATAGCAGCTAGAAAATTATTTGCAGGTTCAAGAAGTCAAGTACAGAACGACTCAAACCGGAATAGGGGCAGCACTTCATTTCATGTTGCTACATCTGGGTCAACGAATAATGGTGCTTCATGTCCGTTTTGTAGAGCCGCACATACGCCGCAATACGATAGTGTAAGGCCTTTTCAAGACTGGGTCAAAATAAGCGATTGGAGGCAGTAAAAACTAGGGGGCTTTGCATAAATTGTTTGAAGCCGGGACACATGATGACCACTTGCCCAAGCCAACAGAGCTGCTACAGGTGTCATAAACGTCACCATACATTACTACACCGAGAGGATGAGGGAGAGCGAACCTCATCACAAGTTACAACTACACCACAAGTACATGCGCACCACGCCGCACATACTTCACAGCAAGCAGCAGCGATGGCGCCAGAGTTGTCCACTTTGACACTAGTCTTTGTACCCGGTAGTCATAACGTCCACACATGCGGCACGGCTATCAATTCCAGACAACAGGTCTAGCTACAGCATATATCAGAGTTGTTTCACCTACTACGGGCCAATATCAAAGAGCTGGGGCGCTGATTGATCCCGGCTCACAAAGTTCCTTTATAACAGAGTCACTGGTGCAAAGCTTGAGTTTAAAGAAGCAGAGGATAGTCGCTGACATACACGGTGTATCACAAACAAATATTGGCCAATCATTGGTTAGGGTCAGAGTAATAATTGAAAGTGCAAGTGGCTCTACAAGAGTACAGGTGTCGGGATTAGTGCTTCAAAAATTGACGAACTTGTTGCCAGAGCGAGACATCTTCGTGCAAGAGTGACCACACCTGAATGGATTAACTTTAGCTGACCCCGAATACTTCAAGATGGGAAAAATAGACGTACTCATCGGTGCTGACGTTTTTGACCAAATAATATTGGACGGTTTAAGAAAGGATCCGTTTGGCCGATTGCCCAGAATACGATTTTCGACTGGATCCTGTCCGGAACTGTAAAGCTACAAGATGTTCCAACAATAATGATAAACAACTTCCACATGCAGTCGGATTTAAATGAAACTCTGAAGAGGTTCTGGGAACTTGAAGAAATACCAGAAAATAAAATGATGACTGAAGAGGAGCTAGCATGCGAGAAACATTTTTGCAGTATACATTCAAGGGCTGTAGATGGACGATACCAGGTGGAGCTACCATTCATAGAAGAAGACCCAATTGAAATAGGAAGTTCGAGACACATTGTAGTTGCCAGACTCTTTGGTATGGAAAAACAGTTTTGCAAAAATCGACAACTTCAAGAGGATTATATCAAGTGCATTAATGAGTATAGCAACATGAATCATATGCAAAAGGTGGAACCAATCGAGTTGAGAAATGAAAATCAAAATGTCATTTCCAATTATTTACCGCATCACGGTGTCGTCAAGGAGAGTAGCTCCACCACGAAATTAAGAGTTGTTTTCGATGCGTCGCGACCCACATCTAACAGCTCATCCTTGAATGACAAGATGATGAAGGGCCCAGTCATCCAAGACGACTTGGCCACTCTTTTGCTCCGATTTCGAAAATATAAAGTTGCCTTTACAGCCGATCTCGAAAAACTGTATAGACAAATCAAACTTGCACCTAAACACACCGATTGTCAGCGAATAGTTTGGCGAGAATCACCTAGACAACCTATTTGTGATTATAAATTAACTACCGTGACTTTTGGCACTAAATCCGCACCCTTTTTAGCTACGCGAGTGTTAAAGCAGCTGGCTACAGATGAAAGGATCAGATATCCTTTGGCATCGCAGGCTACATTAGAGTCCTTTTATGTTGACGATTTGCTATCTGGCGCAGATTCACTTGAAGAAGCACTACAACTTCAGAAATAACTCATCAACATGATGGCTTCGGGTGGATTTTCATTACGTAAGTGCTCACCAAGTGCGGCACCATTACTGCAGGAGGTTCCTAAGGAGCACCGAGAAATTGACTTTGCAAATAGAGGATGCAGAAACGGTAAAGACGCTAGGAGTGCAATGGGACCCAGCCAACGACTACTTCTCGTATAGAATTACCAAATTGGAGGATGGAGCCTCGAAATGGACAAAGCGATCAGTTCTATCAGAAGTGTCTAAATTGTTCGATCCGCTTGGTTGGCTGGCACCCTGTATCATTTTGGCCAAGATAATGATACAGAAATTATGGCTGTCTCGTTCGGGCTGGGACGATGATTTGGAAAAGGCGCTACAAGATGAAAGGCAGAACTACAGATCAAGTCTTACAGAATTAGAAAAGATCAAGATTACTAGATGGTTCAGTTACACCTCGACGGCATGTAAAATGGAACTACATGGTTTTTGTGATGCGTCAATTAAAGCGTATGTGGCAGTTGTCTATTTGCTAGTCAAAAACGAAAGCGGTAACAGGCAAATTAGTCTGGTGGCGGCAAAGTCAAAAGTAGCTCCAATAAAGACGATTTCTTTACCAAGACTAGAGCTGAGTGGAGCAGCATTGTTAGCAAAATTAATAAGACGGATGATCTGCGTTTTGAAAATTACGAACTGGTCAGAGGTACGGGCCTGGACAGATTCCCAGATTGTTTTAGCCTGGCTTCAAGGGCATCCAAGTAAATGGACTACTTTTGTGGCAAATCGGACTGCTGAGATCCACCATTTATTGGGAAAGAATATATGGCGACATGTACCGTCAAAGCAGAACCCAGCAGACTGTGCTTCGCGGGGTGTTCTACCTTCAGAACTGCCAAATCTGGACTTATGGTGGCGCGGACCTGAATGGTTGAGCATGCCTGAACAATTTTGTCCTAATAGAGCCACATGCGAGAGCACCGACGAAGAAGTGCGTAAATCAGCAACTTGCTACAGTACACTCACTAACGATCATCTTGATAACAATATTCTAGGGTTACAAAATAGGTTGTCCACATTTACGAATTTAATACGAGTAACTAGCTATGTGAGAAGATTTATGAGTGTTGCTAAGAAAGTTAAGCATGATGGCAGTTTTATAACAGAATTCAATGCAAGTGTATTTACATGGATACGCATTGTTCAAGGGCATCAATCATTTTGCGCATGAAATATTTCAGCTTCAAAAACGAAAAGTTATAAATGGAAACAGTAGTCTGTCAAAACTAAGCCCTTTTTTAGGCGAAAGTGGAATATTGCGCATAGCAGGTCGCTTACGTCACTCAGAATTAAACTACAATGAAAGATTTCCTATTATTCTTCCCGATAAAAGTCCCTTTGTGCGACTATTGTTGGAAAAGGTTCATCGCAAAACTTTATATGGTGGTGCCCAACTTATGCTGAATGTTTTAAATAGGAACTATTGGATTATTGGCGCAAGAAACCAAATTCGGCAAGTGATACACAAGTGTATAACGTGCTACAAACAGCGCGCGGCAGTTCAAACCCAATTAATGGGTGACTTGCCAGCTTTTCGAGTCAGGGCTGCACGACCATTCACACACCCTGGAGTTGACTACTGCGGGCCCTTTGAAATCAAAACCCACAAAAGTAAAAATCCTAGGATGTACAAGGCATACATTGCAATTTTTATATGCCTCACAGTAAGGGCCATACATATAGAACTGGTGACGGATCTTAGTAGTGAAGGCTTCATCGCGGCTTACAGACGATTTAGCAGCAGACGTGGCAAATGTCAAGCTATCTACTGTGACAACGGCACTAATTTTGTTGGGGCCAATAAAGCAATTGCCAAACAACACAAACAAATGCTACAGCAATTAAAAGAAGAGTTGGCACAGTCGCACGAAAATGAAGGTGTGGCATTCCATTTTATACCACCGGGTTCACCTCATTTCGGCGGTTTGTGGGAGGCTGGAGCACGATCTACCAAGCAACACTTAAGGAGAGTACTCGGTAATATTAAGTTAACTTATGAAGAATTGGCAACTGCTCTAGCGCAAATTGAGGCCTGTCTAAACTCTAGGCTCTTATGCGAAATCAGCAGAAATCCAGAAGATTATAAGGCTCTAACACCTGGGCATTTTTTGATTGGCGACGTAATTGTCATGCCACCTGAACCTTCAATCTTAGATTTTGCTGAAAATCGGCTGAACAGATGGCAACTGCTTCAAAAGCTGTATCAAACCTTTTGGACCCGTTGGAGCCGCGAATATTTGTGCAGATTACAACAATGACCAAAATGGACTAAAAGGCATGACAACATGCAATTGGGAGACTTGGTCCTCCTAAAAGATGAAAATTTACCACCAAGCAGATGGCTGATGGGTCGCATCATCGAGACTCACCCCGGTCCAGATGGACTAGTTCGAGTAGTTACCATCAAGACGAAGAATGGGACACTAAAACGTTCAATAGTGAAGATTTGCTTACTACCAATACATTCAAGGGCGAACGAAACCGAAACATCGCATTGATCAATCGAGAATGATTAATCGTACGCAAAAAAAAAAAATCGCGAACGTAAAGTATGCACCTTCACTTTATTTAAATTATGTACCTACGCTATACCGAAATTATACACCTACCCTATATCAGAATTATGCACCTACATTATGTCAGAATTATACACCTACACTGTATCAGAATTATGCACCTACACTATATCAAATTTGCGGGCCTACACTTAATACTAGGAGAACACCTAATACAAAATTTTGCAAATCTACACTTAATACTAGAAGATGCACCTAATACAATATTTCGAATCTACACTTGAATATATCTATATATATATTTAATTTTAATTAATAATTTTTTTTTATTTGATCAAAAATTTCCAATTATTAATTTATTTTTTTTTTTCTCTCCTTCCCCAATTCCACATCCTAGATTTCCGGAAAGCGAGCTCAGGCGCTATAACCTTCCATCCTTTTACGTTCTCTATTTATAGATGTTAGAACCTAAAAACCTAAAAGGATGCTGCCTTAGAATATGGAAATTATGTTCAAAGCATTTTCGATTGGAAATGATACACTTACCGATTACCATTACCACATGGATAACTTTAGAAAAACATCAACACATCGTTTTGTCATCTTCAGCCACAGATGCCAAGGCCGGGAGAATGTTCCGTTGTGATATCAAACATAAAAGAAACTTCAACTTACCTGTTGAATATGTTGCAGGTTTGCAATCGTTTTAGTCCTGGGTATTTTGGTCCAGCGCAGTCAGTCCTTCTGTCGTGGTTGATCTCGTGTTTATTTATATTAATTTTGTAATATTTGTGGAACTTTTGTTCCATAATTTTTTTCCTAATTTTTAAAACAAAATAAATTAACAAAAACACTACACCACATTTTACTTGTTTATCTCTTATAAATCAAATATTGACATTTGCAGACAAAAAAAAGATTCGTTCAATAGCTTTCGTTCAGTTTGATGGGTGTTGCCGCATGACATAATCGATCAATAATTAATCATATCAGCTATTTGTCAAGTGTGGTGGAGTGAAATAAAAAAGAACGAGCGAATGAAATGAAAAATATTGTATATACATAATATAGAGTGTTTACAACAACAAATCACGGCGCAGTGTATATAAAATTACATTGTATTTTTCAAGCTCAGTGAACTGCGTCATCTGTTTTATGTACAAGAAAACGTTATCAACCAAAAAAGTGGGACTGGCTAGGTGTCAACATCACCGTTGCACAACCGTTTGGATAAAATTTTTCTGGATCTATAAATAGAATGGAAAATTCCAGATCAAGAATGCAGTATTAGAAAAACCGTCGCATCGAACTTATCCATTTTGAATTTATATTGAAATTATAATATACTTAGTTTATATAAAGTCATATTAAAAGAAAATTAAATTTTGTTAATAAATTTAATAAATTGTTAGTACATGAATTGCAAAGAAGAAACAAAAGTGAAGTTGTTTTTCTTATAATTATTCTATATAAAAAAAGGAAAAATAATAATTGCGTTGAAAAGAGGCAATAATAAAATTTTAGTGGTTTTGGTGGTTCTTGCATAAAATGTTAGCGCAAATCGTCGCCTAACAACTAATTCAACACAAATTTTATTTAATTCATTATTAATGAAAACAAGTAAGGAAGAAAATCATAAAAAACAAAAATAAAAGTATAAGAACAAAATAAAAAAAAAAGTCCAGATTTGAGACACCAAAAGAAACTGTACACTTGAGAAATTTATGTTTCTATTTATTGAAAATAAGGGAGACTCCCGGTTAAATCAATAGCGAATGATATTTTTTGATAAACACATCGTGCCAAAACGTTTCTGGCTCATTTTTATTACCTGAGATCTTACTTCTTATATTATTTGAGAAATATAGAACTGCTTTTTTTATTACCTTTCATTTTTTGTAAGAATGGGAAAACAAACTTTGACAGATCATAATTGATTTGACAGAAACCCGACAAATCATAATTGATTTGCACAAAAAAGGTAAATCCTTACGAAATATAGCAAATACGACCAATAGAAGTCATAATACAGTAAAATATGTTATAGACAAATATGTATAAAAATTTTAATGAAATTGATAACTTCAAAAAGTCTGGTAGACCAAAAAGGACTTTCTAATAAAGAAATAAGACAAATAGTGAGAGAAGTCAAAAATAGCCCAAGTGCAAGTGCAGTAAAAACATCTAAAAATATTACTCAAACATCAGAAAAACCTGTAAGTGCTAGTACTATACGACGAGCACTACGTGAAAAAGGACTACACGGTAGGTCTCCGCGACGAGAACCATATATCTCAAAAATTAATCAGGAAAAAAGACTAGAATTCGCGAAAAAGTACGAAAATAAAGATGGTAACTTCTAGGAAAATGTTCTTTTTACTGATGAGAGCAAGTTTGAAATTTTTGGTATAAAAAAACAAGGGAAAATATGGAGACAGAAAAATCAAGAATTTAATGAAAGAAATATTTTGAAAACGGTAAAACATGGCGGAGGTGGCATAATGGTTTGGGGATGTATGGCTGCTGCAGGGGTGGGAAACTTAGTTTTTATAGAAAGTACAATGAACAAATTTGATTTTCTGAATATTTTAAAAGAAAACGTACGGCCTAGCGTTTCAAAACTACAGCTGAATTCTAATTGGGTTTGTCAACAGGACAATGATCCTAAGCATACTTCCAAAATAGTCAAAGAGTGGTTATTGTACAACGTACCTAAACATTTGGGTCACCCTCCTCAATCGTCCGATCTTACCCCATTGAACATTTGTGGGAAATTTTGGGCAGGAGGATACGAAAAAGAGCCATAACGGGCAAGGAGTCGTTGAAATCAGTTATACTCGAAGAATGGCAAAAAATAACCGCAGAGGAAACACAAAAACTAGTACGATCTATGCCAGACAGACTACAACATGTTCTAAAAGCCAAAGGAAAACAAACCAAATACTAAATTTGCTTCAAAACATATAAATTTTTAAGGTGTACAATTTCTTTTGACGCCTCAAAACTGGACTTGTTTTATTCTTTTGTTGTAAAACTTTTTATTTTTGTTTTTCATGTTTTTTTTTTTTACTCGTTTTTGTTAATAATGAATTAAATAAAATTTTTGTTAAATTAGATTTTGTAAAAGACCATTATTTTAACAAATATTGAACTTTAAAATTACAATCTATAAGTGTACAATTACTTTTGGTACTCACAGTATATAAAATATTTAAGTTTTATGTTTCTTAGTAGAATTCAAATTTATCTCCGCGTATGTATGTTCGACAATGATTCAATGCATATAAGTTTTATTATGTTGTTATGGGCTAGGTACTTAACATTTTCTTTATTCGAAAAACTAAGTTTTCTTTCTTAGAAAAACATTTAACTTCAAGATCAAAAGTTGAACTTCAGAACACTGCTCTATTCTAGGTAGCAGTAACGCAATTTAAAATCCCCATACCTCTTTTTTTAGCACTTTTCCAAAAAATTTTTGAAAAAAAGTGCTTATTAGTTTCACTCTGTCCGTCCGTCCGTCCGTCCGTCCGTGGACACTTTTTTTGTTTACAAAACTTCTACACCCTTGAAGATAGAAAGCTGAAATTTGATACGTACATAGATCTTTACTAGAAACTTATTTGTGTAGAACAAAATTTTTACCTATCTCCCCCCC